GTTCGATCCAAAACTACTCTCCTCGCTCAGATGCCCCGCTTCTCAGTAATACTGAGTCGCGCAATGGCGTCCATTCGCAATAAAAGCACAGGCGGCCAGATGCGCGTGGCGGCATGCCGGCTGACAAGCGCACAAGGCCCAGCTTCCCAAAAGGGTCTCGCAAGGGCGCTGCACAAGCAAGATACAGATGGCAAGAGGCCCGAAAAGAGCAAGGTGCGTGCAAGCAGTGGCCGCAACTGCCACGAAAGCCCAGCTTCCCATCACGTGGGCCTCGCAAGGGCAACATTTGTAGCATAATGTACCCAGGCCAAGCAGCCCGCACACGCGAGGCAAGTAAGCCCGCAAGGAGCAATGTTCGTGCTAGCCATGGCTACAGCTGCCATCCGCAAGGGTAAAAGGATCGGCACGAATGTGCCATCCTGAGGACCAGAAGCCACAAAGCGCGGCAGACGGTATAGGAGCGGCCGACTATGTCGCGTTTGTGCCACAATCCAGTAAGTATGTACTGGCACAGAATGCGGTTGCATGACGGTTGACACGCTCACCAGGCCCAGCTTCCCAGTAGGGGCTCGCAAGGGCAGCGTAAAAGCATCCCACTGGTTTTAACAAGGCCAGCGTGGAACAGGGTCAGTGATAGCTATGGCGACCTGACACAATAGCCCAGCTTCCCACCCACGTGGGCCTCGCAAGGGCAGCGTGGTGGATCACGGATCCAAGGCCCAGCTTCCCACAAAAAACCACGGAAGGCACGTTGCGCCAAGGAGGCAGAGACCTGCGCCTGGTATGCCGCCCACTGCTGCCGCAGAGCCCGGCCTGCTTCCCATTTGACTTGCGGATCATTGGAAGATAGATACTGCCCGGTGGTCTCAGATGGGGAGCCGGGAGCCACCAAATAATAAGCTAAGTGAGCGCAATAAGACGTACTGCATCGTATTCTCCATATGAACGTCAGGGAGCGTGATCATGGCCCGCTATCCGCCTACCCACTGTAAGCTGGGACGCTGCGAGCCCTCAGCAACCAGGCGCGCCTCAGTCCACGTGCCCGTAGATACACATCGCCCCATGGAAAAGATGCATCATTGCGGGCAGCAAAGCGCCCTTTCTGCGCCTAGCTTCGTCAGCTACAGAGCACGTTTATGCACTCAAAGGCATCTGGCATGCGCGTGCGTCACAAACGACCACAGGGCAATGCAGAGGCGAGGGCGGGGTCGCAGACTCGTGAGCGGCATAGTATCCAGCGGCTCCATGGAGAAGTAAGGTAATCCCCACAGCTCAAGACAAGCGAAAGCCCAGGGCTGCGTCTCAATGAGGGCGGACTGAATGTCCGTAGTGCGAAAGAAAGACGCACCGGCATAAAGTCGAACAACCGACATATAAGCGAGGCTAGACACCGAAGCCAGCGTCACCACCGTTGCAAGATCAACTTGAACAGTGGTACTGCGAATTTGAATGCCCAGTCGCACCGCCACCTGGAAGTCGGGCACCACTCTAAAGCTGTGGAAATTGCACTGTGCCAGGAAGACCGCTACCCGGTGGCGATATTCCGCATATTGGCGACGGAGCAAGAGGCAGCCGCGCGCTCCTGCGCGCCAATGGCACGAAGCGCCTGGCGGGTGGTATCTGATGGCGGTGCTCCAAAGAGAACCGGTATCGGCTGCAGGGCGATGTAGGAGAGGATTGGTGCTAGCAGCTGGTCCGGAACAGCGGCCATGGCTCGCCTCTAACCCTTACAACTATAACCAAACAGCAGCCATGTACCTGATTCGCGTCTGGAAGGCCATGTACGTATTGGCAGCCAAGCTCGCAAATGGTTCAAGAGAAATAGCTGAATAGCGCCGCGGCGCACGACTCATTAGGGCGGCCCCAAGAAGCCCCCCCCCCAGGCATGTTGCCGAGATGGCCAATCGCAAGCAAGCACAAGGTAGACGCCGCCTGCACACGCCCGTAGCCGCATGGCCAGGACCGGGGGGCGAAAACCGCGGCCCTTGCACCATCCTGAAGGTGGTCGGGTCCTGGCGCGTCACCCTCGTGGTGGCAGACGGACGTGCGGAGCGCGTCGTTCCCAGTATCGCGTGCACGGCTATCTCCCAGAGAATCCGGCGAAAGTGAGCAGGGTCTTCCATATGTGCGTCATTTAGGGTGTGCAAGAACGCCCAGTCGCACGCGTCCTGGCGTTTTTGCAGTTGCTGCCGGGTGTAATGGTAAACAGGCGAGCGCTTATGGTAGTTGGGCACCAACCGAAAGCCTAAAAACTGGTAATCGAGGCCACCCGCAAGTCCTCCCTGGGCTTGAAACTAGCTGCCTAGCCGCCGCGATCCAGTCCTCAATGCGAAGACCCTGTCCCAAGGTGTATGGCTGATAGTTCATTTGGCGGCCCATGGGAACATCAGCAAAATCCCGCCTAATGATCTCCGCATGTCGGCCAGTCACTGTATGACTCCCCATGAGAAAGAAGCGCTCGGGGTAGTACATGGTGATCCTTTTGGGTCCAGGCAGCCAAACCGCCAGAGCTGCACGTAAGTCATAGCCATCCTGCTGGGTCCACTGTCGGACTCTGGCCAATGCACTTGAAAGCAGTCCTGCTGGCTGCAGACAAAGCTCTGCCGCAGGTCGCAAACCCAGGGCCTCTTCCGACAGCGGATGTAGCGAAAGCGGCCTTGATAGACCGCCGGATGTGTGAAAATGTCAGGATTCACACACGGGTGATGGAGCGCAACGACGCCCCTCCCCCACCGATGTCGTATCAGGGCACCGATCTTCCCTTGCAACGGACAAATGTCACTCGCCGCAAAGGTAGCTGCGAGACGTAACCCCAGCTGGCCTCTACGGCCCTCATCGGCAGCATGTTGGTCGTTGTCCCGAAAAGCCCCGACGACCTCCAGATGTGGGTAGGACTGTGGTTGATCGACAAGACGCCGGATCACAAACAGCACCTGAATGGGTAGTAGACCGCTGCAGATTGGAGTGGGGAGATACCCAGGGCCATAACAATGAAGCTGCCATCCCGCGCCATAGTATAACGTAGCCTGGTCCGCATGCTGCCACTGGGCGACAATCTCATCGACCAGCAGCCACCACCAAACCTGAGGCCGCGCAAGCTCGCGCCAGACTAAGTCATGTGCCTTGTCCTCTGCCAAATGTTGCAGGGGTTCGCACAACTCGGCTAGGGCGGCTGATGGCAATCAATGGCAGCATCGCAGCCGCATGCTCCATCTGCAAAGCTGCAGGTACCAAACCCGAACGGATCAACGTTGACACGAAGCGAGCCCGCTGCTAAGAACATTGGTAACGACAGAAGCGTATTACAGTCCGCCCGTGAGGGAAGGATGGAGCGCAAGTGGTCGACGTGTCTGTAGCGCTAGCCCCGTCAGGGCGGTGGCGGATAGGATCCGCATCCAAAGCTTGGATCAATGCGCGCAGGTCATCCAGCCAGTTCGAAGTCTTAAAAACGCAAGAGCACCCCACGCTATAGAGCTTATCCGCAAACCGAGGGTTCTCTTGGACCCCAGCGCCAGCACTGACAACGCGTTAAAGGGTTTTTTTGGCGTGAGCGGGCCTTGTTGACTACGGCTGTAGCACTTGGTCCCTGCAAACAGACAAACCAACAAACAAACGAAAACAGCGGTAAAACGATTGGCAAATTAAAGAGAACGGAAGTTAGCTGCGGCGCACAGACTTGCCGGTGTTGGCCGTTTAGCGTAAACTGGGTTCTTAGCAACCGATTTACATTAACAGTGGGCCGTTGCCCAAGGTTGTCCAAGATTTACGGTGGAGCCCAAGTCAAAAGCTCCGGCCGCCGTTCTAGTTTTGTCGAACAACGGTTGGCCCCGTATGTCGAAAGTCATGGACATTGGAATTAACCGAGCAAAGCCAGTTGCCTACCAGGCGCGCTCCAAAGTCGACGGTGGCCATTGTTCCAGTTGATGTTGCATGATCCCCTCTTCTTCTCTTGGGTTACAGCAGAATTGCCGGGTCCAGGCTGGGGTGCGATGCCTCTCCACGCACAATGTGCCAACAGAGCCAGTACGGCTTGCATGTAGCTGCCAGCAGAAAACCCCATGTATAATAAGGGAACTGGGTCTTAGAGCCGCCAAGAATATAAGCATGGCACTAAGGCATCCGCTATGCGGAGAGGAAAGCACAAGGCCCGTGGAAACAATTTCTTAAACCCGTAAATAAGAAGAGTGCCACCCTTTGAACAACGAACGCGGCTTTAAGCTTTGCTGTGCTTGTGCATGCCCATTTTCATCCTTGATGCAGAAACTTGTGCAGAAGCGCAAGGATTCACAACCCACTTGCGTTCCGTGCTGCCATGTCAAACCCAATCTTGTAGCACTAAGTAGACAGCCCAACGCAGACATAGAAATTCAACATGTAGCCAAGCAGCTTTGCTTTAAACACGACACCGGACTTTATAGAAACCTTGCAAACTTGCAAGTGGTTTATCGCGCTTGTCCTGTTCCAAAAGACACGCAGTCAAGCCTGCATCTTGCATCTGCGGGGCAACGAACAGAAGGCGACAGCACCCGCGGATCAGGATCCACTGCTGCAGCAGCAAGAATGCAACTGCAATGCAGGGTGTTTCCAGCATGGTGCGTTTATGTCCACTCCCTTGCATTTTGCCACTGGGGTAACAACAGCAGAGCAAGAGAAAGAGGCGGCTAAGTGGGGAAAAAGGCAATCTGGTGCCCTGGAGATGCCGTTGGCCTATCCTCATGCAAAAGAATCCATATTAAAGAACGCTGGTCTTACAGAGACCTTACGGCCAAAGAAGAAAAGTGGAGTAGCACGCTTTCTTCTCCGCCCTGCATGTGAGCAACCTTCAAAATACAAATGCTGCAGCTTAAAATCCGTGGGCCTTCTTATGCAAAAGTTGCTTCTGCATTTGGATAAGAAAACTTGGACAAGCAGCTTTGGCTGGACTGCGCATGCTTAGAAGGCATGCGTCACCTGCTACACCTTCCAAAGGCGCGAAAGCTCTTAAAGCCTTCCCTGGCTACTTACTGTGCTTTCGAAACAAGATCTTTTAAGAGATTGGTTCCATCTGCGGGGCTTTCATACAGTACGATTCGGAAGTAGGCAAACTGGCAATGAAAAACGCACAGAACCAACAAGGGCCTACACACGAAGTCGCAGTCTTCCCGCGCGAAGTGGAACACGAATCCATTCACTAGACGGGAAAAGGTCCTCAAGATCTTCATGGGTGGGCATCTGCGGGTCCAACGTTGGCAAACCGGCAGGAAATACATCCTGCAGGCCCCGAGACACAGGCGTTTGCTCATCTGTGTTAGTTGAAGCCGGCCAAAAGCAGACTTCCAACTCCGACGACTCAAGTAAGTCGTGCAGGCTCCAAACAAAATTTGCATCCGTGAAGACAGTGAAGACATGGACAAGTCTACTGCGTCTCTGGTTTTCTCTGCCAAATAGTGCTTGTACCCCTGGAAACAATATACATCTAGCGGTTGGAGCAGAGGCGTCAGGCCGGCGGGGCAAACAGCTGTAAAAAAACCTTGATTATTGGCAGCTTCTATCACGCTGTCAGCAAGATGGGCTGGAGCACAATCCATCACGAGGATGGGTTGAATCTCTGGCCACAGTGATAGTGCGTCTCGAAGCATTTTCAAATACTCTACGAAGGAAGCAGCTGTACTCCAGCCAGTCTTGCCCCGTACCAATCGCACTGTTTCCGGCTGCAGGGGCAACAACGATTTGGCCAGCTTCTGACTCACAACACGTGTGTTGCTCAAAATCACTTGCGGAAGACACGGCTGGATGTCGGATCGGTTGCAAATGCTGGCCACGTGGGTCAAGGCACCCCTTGTACGCTTTCCCTTCTGCTGCAAGGAGCACTTTCCGGGCACGATATTGCCCTTGAGGTCTGGCCGCGCCAGAGATATGCTAGTTTCGTCCACATTGATAAAGACGGCCTGTTTGCCTGCCGGAACTCTGCTTCGAAGCCACGAAACCCACTGCAAAAACTTCACAACCTTGGGGTCTCAAAAGGGGAACCTTGGGAGGATGGGTTTTCGACCTTCCCGTATCTACGTTCCCACTAACGTTCCCATTTTGGGCACTTTTTTTGGTACCAGTTTAGGGAACGCAAAAACCGACCAAAATGCCGCCGAACCGCCTTACGTCGAGTCTCCTCAACTGGTCCTGGAACTGGTCCGCTCTTCAATACACCAAATCGCAGATGGAACCTTTCACGATATCGTTTTGCCCATTTGCGCATGTGGCGACCATGTCGGTGTGAGATCGTGTTGTTGTGGATTGATCTAACCAAAGCCTGCTCCAGCACTCCATATTTATGGCAGGTTTACAAAAACACCGATGCTGTAGCAGCGGATGTAGGCGCCACGCCGCGCTCGTTTTGCCTGGAAACCCAAAAAACTGTCTGATTTGTGCCAAAAACCGAACAGCTTCCCGACGTACTGGACCAGGGTCTTGAAGCTTCACCAGTTTGTCTAGAGCGGCTTCGAGATACCAGTTTTCAATGCGGGCATCCAGTGTGGCATCAGTGTATTCAGTGTGTGCATCAGCATTGGTCCGCTTTTGACAGTGGACGAAACGAACATAAGCCCGAGCTACCCCGATGTCATACTCCGACAGCATGTAAACGGCCAAGACAATTGTAATCTGCCGAGCTCTCAAAAACAGGTTGGAAACTGCACGACGCAATCGCTTCAATGATTGCTTCGTGCTCGCAATTTCCTTTGACAAGCGCTGCACCTGGTTGTGGGGCTGTAGGACAGCATCACAGTTTGACTATGTCTAAAACCCTGCTGAACTTGGCTCGGCCTCGACGGCAGCAGCTGGAGGAGGCAGTGGCGCCTCTCTTGGTCCTTCCTGCCGGCGGAAAGCAATCAGAAGCAATAAATAGCTCTTGCTCCAGGATGCACCACATAGCATACGCACAGACACTCTCCACTCCAACACAAACAACTGCTAGCAGCGAGCTTGCAGACTGTGCACAAGCTGTCCAGCGCCGTGAAAACCCTGTCTCTGCAACAGCATGTCGGACAGAATTGCATCCGAGAGCAAACCTCCTCGTGGTGGATGCGGGCCATAGCTTTGCTGTGGTGCGGATTGCTCCAGTTTGTGCAGGCCATAGTGTTGCTGTGGCATGAGATGATTCAGCTTACGACTCAGATCTACCTTGCAACAGTGTTCTTCAGTGCTGTTGTTGTGTTGATCCGACGCAAGACAGAGCAGACCAAAAGACAGAAGTATCTTGACATGATTCGGATGCGCAAGCAAGCATCTGCATGGGCAGCCATGCGGGTGGGAAGGCAGCGTGTCTCATGGGGACGTGCTCTCATTCGCAAGTTGCGTAGGGTTCCATTTCGGCGAAAGTGGAAATTGATCGATGGACATAGCTTGGGCCTCGGCATTGTTCTGGGTCGATCGTGTGCCAGAATTAGACTTATCAGAAAGCGAAGATTGAGACGCATGCGCAGGCGTGTGCATTCACATGCTTCCATTGTGAATCGTGGCGAGAAGGCACGGGAGTGCAGTGGGCTGCAGGACCTAGGTCTGGTTGATACCTGCGGTGTGTCAGCTCGCTGTGCGCCCGGACCTCAGGGCCCGATACAAGTGACACATTCGTCAGCGACAAGTTCATGTCAGTTGAGTGTTGATCATGCTATACCCTCTCATGCCAGTTTGATGTCTTGCGCGGCAGGGCTTCGTGGTGGGGGAAAAAATAAACATAAAGCTCAGAAGCATCAGGAAAGTGATGAAGTTGCTCTGGTCAAGAAGCTCCGGGCCGCGATTGACGGTCCAAGACAGGGCAAACTCATCCATCGCTTAGCGGCAATCCTTGCTGCTGAACATGAAGGTGCAAATCAAACCCTTGATGTGACAGTGTCCGCAAACACCAGGCGGGCGAATCGATGGCAACAGCAGCGTTGGCAACATCACCATTGTGATTCAGGGTTGTGGGGTGTAGGGACAGGGGAGTGGTGGACCGCAGGTCCCGGTTCATGGGATGATCCGTGGAGTGACGGTACCCATTTCTCCTGGCCCTCGGGACCCGACCCAACTCCTGATAAGAGCAATCGCAGGTCCAATCGCTGGAAGCGAGCAGCATCGGAGACGTGGAAGGAAATCAAGTGGTCTTTCAGAAAGGAAGACTGGGTAGAAGAGCGAGGGAGTGATGTTCTTTTTAGCAGTGGCCCAGCAGACCTTGCAAATCAGTTGGATGTAGATGAGGGGCGGACTTGGGTCGTGCAAGTTGAGATGCAAGATGAAGCATTGGAGATACTTAACATGATCGCCGCCACGGTGGGAGGGAGCATAGCAGTCATTCTTGCAGGAAGTCATCCATCAAAGATTGAAGAGTTGGATCCCGCTTTTCAGGAGTTTGGTAGCAGTGCGACGCGCATCAAAGTGCCAGGTCGCCTCGATGGCAGACTTCAGGCCCGCACCTGTTGGATCTTCCGGTTTGGGCCAGAACAGCCCATACTACGCACAAGAATCGCGATGAAGCTTCCAGCAGGAGTGCAATCGCCAAGTGCCGCTCGACCTTCGTGGGTACTCAGACTCGCATGTCAATGGCATTACGACAACTCGGACTGGAAGCGAGTCTTGCAGTCTCCAGGGCCGCAGGCTAGGAAATGGGCAACATCCGCATTTCCAGAGTCCAGACAGGAGTTAGGAGACACATGGGCATGGCAGGAGGTTCATGCTGGTCTTGTGCAAGGGCTACTACGAGTTCATGATCAAAGTTTGGCTCAACAGTTACTTGCTCACAGCGGGTCCAGCAATGATTTCGGTACGTGGTTCGTCGAGGCCGTAGGCGAGTACCCAGGTGACAACCAAGCCACCAAAGTCTTGTGGATCCCATGGATAAACCCAGAAACATGGGATGAGTACTTGACTCGAGTACGGCAGGAGGGCTCATTCGGTGTAGTTCGAGGGGCGCATCAATTGGGAGTCAGGGTGTCCCCCCGAGATACTCGATGGAAGGAGCCGGCTCATAAATGGACGATTCGATGGGTGCCTAAGGCCTGGACCACGCATGATGTTTCTCAGGTGTTGATGGCCATGGGCTACCAGGATGCCAGCATCACAGGCAAGTCCCTTCAGAGACCAGGCGCAAGTTGGTACTTCAGTGCACGTCGGGGGGACGGGCTACAGAGTGTCCAAGCAGAAATGGAGATAGGTGCAGGCGAAAAGCTCGAACTGCAGGCGATGATGGATGCTAAATGGCGTGCAGCTCCTATCTCCAGTGCTCGAGGCCTGCAACCGGAAAAGCGAGTGTCCTACCGCGATGTCTTACCAGTTGCTGAAGTTGCGGAGGGGACATATAGCTACTATGGTGCGCGCAAATCACCAGACCTCCACATGGAGGTGGAAACCGAAGAAACAATCTCTGCTTCCAGGGAAGTCATTCAGCAGGATGGTGAGCCTTTGCAGCTTGATGCCGGCATTCAGCCTGAGACCAAAGGTGCCAAGCGAGCGGCAGAGACACATCAACCGCAGCGAGCCGCTGCGATGGCAAAGTGCACATGGATGCCAACTGGAAAAATATTGCGAAATTCGGGTCAGGGCGATTGTCTCTATCACTCCTTATAAGCTCTTAATCATGCAGGTGAAGTCGCGCGTAAAGGTGAAGAGCGTTCCCATCGGCAAATCCGGGCCTTCACCACGGCGGCCTTCAAGAAATGGTTCTCGCACTACGAAGAGTTATGGTTGGGCCAGGGCAAACCGGACGCTCGAGGACAGCAACAAGAGGACGGCACCTTCCAGGCATACGTGGATCAGCAACAAATGTTAGGCGTGTGGAGTGGTGCGCTGGAAGTGTTAGCATTTGCCGAAGCTTTCAACATAAGGGTTTGGGTGGCAACCTCCAAAGGAGAGGTGCGAATCTTCAACGAGAATGCGCGCAACGCGGGGGTCTACCTTTTCTATTCTGATTGTCATTATGAATGCCTTCAAGATGCTCGGGAGGAGGAATTCATCCGTCGCAAACGTGAGCAAGATGAAGCTGGAGGTAAAGGGCACCTGACAGCTTTGATGCGTGGCGGTGTAGGGTCTCTTCGCTTATCAGACTTTGGATCGGTGAATCATGAAAGCAACAAGCGCAGTCATGATCAGAACTCGCTGAGGCTCTCGGACTTTGCATCGACGAAGAAATCAAGGACAAAGAATTCTGGAGCAGATGTTCCTGTACGTGAGGCGGGAACCACCAAGAGCTCGCCAATGACAACGATTCATTGCGATGGTGGTAATCAGCAGCACTTGGGCTCTTCATGTACAATACACAGGAGAGGGTCAAGCATTGCAGGCAGTCATTCTGAGATGTCCCATGCGGAGCAAGATAAAAGTAGCAAGACGGGCATTTGCGAGTCACATGTGTGGGTTTGCAATGTCTGTCATATGCTTTGCCGAGCTAGCCTACGCCCGATGCTTTCAGCCGCCCGCCACAGACACATTCAGAAGGTCCATCCGAATGAAGACCGCAAGAAGTTTCACCGTCTCAACGAGTGCACCGTCATTCCGACATTAAGCAAGAAAGCACTGGGGAAACGAATGGTGTGGGAATGTGCCTGGTGCCACCAAGGGCTTCCTCGTTTGCACAGGACCCAGGCGAAAGCAAGCATTAAGAGTCATTTGGCATCGTGCAAGAAGGCGCCCGAAGGAGCTGATCAGAAACTCAATCGCAGCATTCATCTCTCCAAGGCTGGGTTGACGGAGCGCGTAACGGTCAACAGTCTCTATGCTGCCAGAATGTTGCAGTTCAAGTCCCGCGAATCGAAGGTTTTGGAAAGCTTGCGAGGCGGTGGCCATAAGATCGTCGAGGTTTTGCATACTAGTCAGCGCCGGAGATACACGTGCTCAAACTGCACGCGCTATTGGAAATCCATCAGTGCGATTCAGGCAATCCACTTCAAGTGCAAGGGCAAGGATGACAGACGACAGTTGATGCAATCCAAGGGTCGTCGGAGGCTTTGGGGCATGGCACAGTTGAAAAACAAGCGCAAGCTACAGTCTATTTGGAAACTGTCGCACAGTGAGGTGAAGCAGCTCAACACGACAAAGATCCGACCACGCGCAAGTGGCTCCCAAGACTGACTCCCTGCCGAACGCGATGATGCACCGAATCAGTGGCAACGACGGCTTACGGAGGATGGCGATGTTGAGGAGAATCCGGGGCCCCCATGGCGTAATCGATTATCGTTTTGGTGCCTTAACGTAGGTAGCACGGCTGGTGCCTTTCAGATCATTGATCATCTCCAACATGGAAGTCCAGATGTACTGTGTCTTCAGGAGACACACTTCAACGAGGAGACGGCGAGACATTTTTCTGGCCTCTTACAAAAACGTGGTTACAGGGTCTGGCATGCGCTCTCCGAACCGACGGTGGATTCCAGAGGCCGCAGTCACACTTGGGGAGGCGTTGCATTGGCCATGAAGAAAGCGTGCAAAGCAGCACAATGGCGCAAAATCAGCTCGGCAGAAGGAGAGCTCATGTGTGTGGACATGGGCAGCTGCCTCGTTGCCTCCGCCTATGCGCGCAAAGGTCAACAGGAGCCTTTCCTTGACCTTCTGGCACATGCTTTCCAAGGCGCGGCCCCAGCAGTTCCGATATTCATTGCTGGGGATTTCAATACGCAGGCGGGCGAAGCACACGTTTCAGGATTTCATACACAATGCGTTGGAGGAGTTCGGTGTGCAGTTCCTTCCAGATGGGATGGCAAAAGATGCATTGATTATGTTCTGTCGAATAGCCCGGAAAGCAGCACGCATCTCCGCTATGAAGAAACGGCAGTTTCAGATCACAAGATGCTCGTAGGAAACTTTGAGATTCCTGTGGAGCGTGCTGCGTTGTGGCAGTTCGCTCCCACTTTGCGGTATGCGAGGCCGGTGGAGTGTACTGTTGAGCAGTGGCAGTCCGCCGTGGCCGAGGCGTGGCCCAATGAAGTGGTGCATGACGTTGGAAGCACCGAAGCTGAATGGAAGTGGTTCAACTCCAAGCTTGAAGCAGCTTGTGCTAGCGCTATGCGGTCTACGTCATGCGCTGGTCCGAAGTTCATTCCGGACTGGCGCCCGAAAGGCACGAAGC